TTTCTTGTGTTTACGTACCAGTTGTAAACGTGCAGACCCATCAGTGTTTGAAAGCACACCAGTCTCAAGTGTTATGTGCCGATAATCGTGACATGCGCGGCCATCCGCGCGTATATCATGTTGTATGCCACTCAGAATGTATTCCTGCTCTGGTCGTGATAAAGTGATGAGTGACATGATGCCTATAACAATGTAAAATCGACGCAGTCACTCACAGATACGATGTCACATGTACTTTAAATACCTAATTATGTATTTTACAATCGGCAACAGGAAATATGTATATTATGTTTGTAGAAATATGCCGAAATTTACACTTCATCTGTTTTTTTTTCCGAAAACCCAAATATATGGTCTAAATATAGATCCATGTGTTACACTTTCCTCGTGATGGTTATCGGAAATAATCAATATGTGAGGTTGTGCACTGTATTTATTGATTTTATGATATAAATATGTAAAATAAATATATAACTTTGTTTATCTCATAGCCTTCTCATACCTTTCCTCTCAATATTATTGTTGACTCACAGTTCAGCGATATGCTTTTAGTTGATAGAGAAAAGAGGATCTTCTCTACACGATCGTGATGATCTCAATACAGATTCAGAACCCGATTACAGTTGCGACGCACGAGAATTATGCGGCACTGTACACGATGACAACCCTTAGTGAACCTAAGGATGTACGAAACATTCGAGGCGTTAATTCCGGGTTTCTTGACAATAAAAAATGAGCTTGAAGTAGTGTGTGGAGACATGTTCTGGCGGATAAATTTCATCTAAACAAGGATCTAGTACTGTTATCCAAGAACCTTGGCTATCATTGGAATTTATATTGAAAAAGTGACATATATAGTTGTCGCAGTATTGCAGACACAAGCAGAATATCGTATGTACACCTAAAATCGAATTTACAAACAAGTTAGACAATCAAATTAGCGGGACAATAGTCAACGATAAGCATCTTTAGAAAACTTTCTAAGTAAAGCGCAGAATTTATCAATCAGAAAATCTACACCTAAAATCGAATTTACAAAACACAAGTTAAACAATCAAATTAACGGGTCATTGGTAAGCGATACTATACGTAAGAAACTTAAAAATATGCACATCTACAAATAATACAGGATTTCACATAGCACTCAGGTTTTGCACTTTACTCCTGTAAGACCACTGATCAAGACGAGCTAAAGTGCACTCGTAGTACTAACAGTATTGAATTGACAGTGAATCAGATACACGACATTGTCTAACGTAAATTAGGTGATTGACTGAATCAACCAGCCTAGTACTTGGTTGGTTGGATACGTCATTCCCTAAATTTAGAGATCGAAGTACTCGTGGACCCTTTGTTACATGCTCGATTTGGTGCTTTTCGATATGACACAAAATGTATCAGAATGTACATCGGATATCTAACGATGAATGACTTAATTCACTTTCCAAATGTTGTTACTCGGTTGTCTGGCTGGCACAGTATTTCCGCCCATTTGTTATAAAACTGGCGATTTTTATTGCGATGCAGTAGTACTTTAATCTCAGTCCACACGATCCGCTGCTCCTGGGTGAAATTGCCCGAACCTTCTACGCTGCGATCCCCACCAATTCTACACTATGGTGGTTGGTTTTATTCACCTTATTTGCAACAAGTATATATTGGGAGTTCACAGAACTTATTTGTAATGGTAGCGAATCAATTGGTACAAGGCATATTGAATATTTAATCATCTATGCGAGTTTATCAATACCTGAATTACAAGGCATTATATGTTCAGGATATAGAACATGGCCAACTATAACAGCTAGGTAGGTGTAAGGTTGGCTTTCGTCACATAACTTATCTATATCAAAATTCACATCACGCCACCATTCCGGAGTCATGATATCATTCGCTTTGTTTACTACAAATGATGTCAAGAGCAGTAGTGTCAGGTGAATTGGTTGTCTATCTTGATACTGGTTGTGCAATACATACACACTTACATTGATTTCACAAACCATTTTTACCCACCTGCTGCAAGCCAGGCTGCAACTACAGCCATGACCCTTGTATCTGGGGGATTCGCTCATGTATATCCTCGCTAGGAACACTACACCCGACAGGTTGTCTAGTAGCGGTCTCGCTCGCCATAGACACCTGATATTCTGGTACCACAGTCACACTGTACACATACTGACTAGTGCCCAATCTCCCGTATGAAAACATGTTTTTGACACTGCTAAAATAGCCATATCCCTGTGTCTAAAACTCTAAATTGTCAAAATATTCACTAAACTCCCCCGCCCCTCCCCCTTCGCCCACGTCCCCCACTCCCCGCCCCAAGCCCCCAAGCCCGCAGCCGCTCCCGCTCTCTACTAGTAGTAGCGAGAGTGAGAGGGGGTATATATTTAATATTAAATATTGTAGCGTTGTTCTACCATCGACGATCGGAATTCAATACATATTCATAGCTATATTATCCTTTTTTTTCTTTTCTCAAAATTAGTTCATACTGGCTCGAAGTGCATGACGGCATTCTCTTTAATTTATTTCTCCACCCCCAGCCTCCCAGACCTCAGTCCCCACTCCTCAGTCATCCACCCCCCCCGAGAATATTGCAATACAACTTGTATTACGCCTTTACACACGCACAATAAGTCATATGTACGTAAGTCACAGGCCAAGATGCCAATCTTTGGTAGGAATCACGTCCGCTTCCAGAGCAGCGACGGAATCCTTTTCAATGTTTCAGAGGAGGTTGTTGAGATGTGCCCAACTGCGAAGCACTTACTGTTGAAGAAACGAACATGGTTTAGGAATGCCTTGGGAGGCAGTGTTTTTTCTATCGAAGGGTATGAGGCTTCGTTCACGATGAATAATTATTATTTGCGTGCGTTGTCGCGTGCGTAATCGTTTGCGACCGCCACTACCTTGACAGCATTCCTGCGCATGTATTTAGCGTGCGGTAGCTCTCATTCTATTATCGATCTATGAGAAATTAATTCCTGACTGTTTCATTTATTTTCTAATAGAGAACCTGATATATATATATATATATATATATAAAATGTATATATGTATGTATATATGATGTATATATGTATATATAT